ATTGGAATAAACCACAAATGTTGTTGGTGGTTTTAGTTTAGTTAACTATAATAGACCTGTTCTTGCAAATTATAATCTACATACGATCGCAGCAATTAGCAAATGACAATGATCCAATCAATTCCAATCAGATCCTAAATCAAGTCCTGCATTGTTTTGTTTTGTTTTGTGCATTCGAGGATAACAATAGGTAATTGCAACTTCATTTCTTGCAGACTTTACAAGATCAGTTCATTTATAGCATATATGCGTTTCAATAAAGAAAAAGAAGTTGCTAACAAAGTCACCCAAGCAGTCTAAGTAGTCTGATTTATAGGCTGTTTCCACTTGCTGATCATTAGATCTGTTTGAGTGTAAAAAACGAAAGGCTCACCATTTTAGGAACAAAACTTCTTAATATGGCTTACAAAAGTTATCTTAATTATACACTAATTATGTTGTATTTTCCCCTCATACCACATACCCTCACCCTGAATAATTATTCACAGCTCAGCCAAATTAAAAATGTGCATCAAAGCATTTTTTCATATTGTTTCCTGTATACCACATTTCCTTGTCCTAAAGCCTAACACCATTTTCCCTTCGAGAGTGTACTGCATTTAGTATATACTGACAGTAATTCTAATTATGTAATCACTTATTTCTGATTATTGGGGAACAGTCTGATTTGCTCTGGTGTGTTGTGGGAGGTGTTCTCCTCCAGGCTGTATCAGCCCCGGGCGGAAACCATGTTCCTTTCAGATCACTAAAGAACCGAGTAAATAACAACAGCTGGTCTCCCTCATACATTATTAACAGATTATCCGTTTAACGATGTGAACCCTGTAAATATTACATCTGAGGGAGGCACACAGCACCCAGATTTAATCAACAGACTTTCAGCATCAAAGACACAGCCAGTCACTTATTACTTTACTTATTGGGAATAACAGTCTAATCAAGCAAGGCTTGTTGCTTTTGGATTGTGAGTAAAAAGAATTTGAAATTTAATGTTTCATTTAACATGTATTTGACTCATGTATGATGCAAAAAAGTAATCATTTATGCTGCTGGTTATTACACAGTATATAGTAAGTGTGTTCTACTCCACAGATTGGAACCAGACAACCTATGGGCCAATTCCTCCCATGCAGAGGGACCAGTCTGACATGATCCTACCGATCGTGCTACAGCACCTGTGCCCGGCCTATATCTCCTTTTTTGGTCTGGGGGCAGTTTCTGCCGCAGTGATGTCATCCGCTGACTCATCCATCTTGTCGGCCAGCTCCATGTTCGCTAGGAACATCTACCAGCTCGCTTTTCGACAATCGGTGAGAGCCAGACTAAATAATTCGCTGCAAAAAAAACTAAAAATGACTCAATATTTTTTGTTTTGTTTTCCAGTACAAACATTCTCGAATCAAAATACATTTACTTATGAAGAAGCTAAAAGTTTATTTTTCTTACCCCACTGGTGCATATTTGTTCTTGTTTTAATAAAGGCACTTTTTATAATTGTTTTTAGAAAATAAGAGTTTTATTTTTTACAAGTAAATTTATCTTCACTGTAGGAAAATCTGTAAAGGAGTTTTCCGTATTGATTTTGCAGGTGTTTTACCTGTATTTTATTACTTGTTTTGTTGCATTGTGTTGTGTTTTAGGTTAAAGGCTAAAATAAATGTCTGTAAATTAACAGACAGTGTTCTGGCTGAAAATTACCAGTACATTTTCCATTTTTCAATGGATTTTTGTCTTAAGGTGCAGTCATATTTCAGCAAAATTTTGTGGGCAAAAAAGTCCATTGTCAATAACATACCGATATATGAAGCACAGCTCAGACAGTGGTCACTTTCAAATCAAGCAGCTTTCTGTTGGACAGCAGAGAGGATTTGCATAGCTAACTCTAACGAAAATCTGAGTGGGGAACTTTTTTACCTTCAAGAGATACTCCTGAATGCATGGATTCTTATTGAAATTACTACAATGACAACATTTTGCCAAGTAGCATTGGTTTAAGAATGCTTATATATTTGTACTGGAAAACGTGACACAAATACTAAGCAAGAAACCCTTTCTCTTTCTTTAGTAAAACAACTATAACATTTAAAAATGCATACTAATTTATGGATAAAGTAATTCAAGGGATAGTTCACCCAGTAATAACAATAATCACCATTTACTTACACAAATGACATTCAAGAACTTTATGACTTTCATTCTTCTGGGCAACACAAAAGAAGAATGAATGATTTCGCAGAATTTCTCAGCTGTTGTTGTCCATGTAAAGAAAGTCAATGGAATCACTGACAACATCACTGACCTTTATTGAATGAAAAAAGTGGGTGTCAATTATTAAAAGCCTGCATATTAATCGACTTCTCGAATTCTTAGTTTTATCATATCTTGTATCATTTTATTATCTCTCTAATTCTCCTCTCATCTTTGTACTGATTTCAAGGCTTCTGACCGTGAGATTGTGTGGGTCATGCGGATCACTATTTTTGTGTTCGGGGCTCTAGCGACGGCCATGGCTCTCCTGACTGGGACCGTCTATGGTTTATGGTACCTGAGCTCTGACCTGGTCTACGTCATCATCTTCCCCCAACTCCTATGCGTTCTTTTCATCCGTGCCACGAACACCTACGGCTCAGTGGCTGGATACATCTTTGGATTGATCCTGCGAGTTGGTGGAGGGGAACCATATCTCAAACTGCCTCCGTTCATCTACTACCCTGGATGGACCATTGAGGAGAAGGTCCATCATGTGACCAAGGAGGTGGAATACTTGGTGTTGCAGAGGTTTCCCTTTAAGACTACTTCCATGCTGGCCTCGTTCCTAAGCAATGTGGCTTTCTCATACCTGTTTAAGTACCTGTTTGAGAGTGGCACTTTGTCGGCTAAATATGATTTCTTGGATGCAGTGGTGGCCAAGCACAGTGCCGAAATAATGGACAAGACCACTCTGGTGAACAAGAACATCATTGGGCTGAATGAAATGGCCCCGGTCAAGCCGAGACTTAGTGTTACTTTAGCTGCTACCTTCGCCAGGAAGGAAACCCTGACCGAAGAGGAGGACTCCAGCCCGGAGTCACCGAGTCATGAGAATGAGTAGAGACCCTATGTTCAATCTTGAGAAGACTCTCTATTGGTTCCATAATGTGAAGTACAAGTCTTCACCCAATAAGCAAATAAATATCAGATTTTAATTATATACTTAATTCATTCCACACTCCTTCTCTGGAATTTCCATCACTTCTTTCAAGATGGGAATGGGACAGCAACTGAAACTCAATGAAAATGGCAAAGAGAGAAGAAAGCAGCAGTGATTCGAGTGGTTTGAGTAATATTAGGAAAAAAACTGACTTGATGGTGTTGAATCAAGTTTTGAAGTCTTGAAGCTCTTCGACTCCTGTCGGTATGTACAAACCCTGAGTGACTCTCCTTTCCCTTCTAAAGAAAATGTTGAGATACTGTGATAATCCTTGGGAAATAATCATATTATTAAAAGGTTAGTTCACTCAAAGATGTTCTGTCATCATTTGCTCAACCTGGATGACTTCATTTCTTCTAGAACATAGATCAAAATGTCTATTTTTTTCATCCATGCAGTCAAAGTCAATAGACTTCAGTGTTCTTTCGGACCTTATTGAATTTCATTGCATGGA